GTTGTGGATTACCAATTGCTTCCCGTTGGTACCGGATTACGAGTAGATTCCATTTGTGGCGGATTACAAGCTGATTCCTTTTGTCGGGCGGGCGGGCGGGACATTAAAGGCATTGATTCCTTGTGTGGCGGATGGCAAACTGATTCTTATTGTGGCAGATTACACATTGATTACTTTTGTCTGGCGGGCGGGCGGGACATTAAAGGCAATGATTGCTTGTTTGGTGAATTGCGAATGGATTCCCTTTGGCAGCGGATTTTAGGCTTATTCCTTTGGTCGGGCGCCTTTTGCCTGGCGGGCGGGCGGGACATTGAAGGCAATAATTGCTTGTGTGGTGAATTACAAATGGATTCCCTTTGGCAGCGGATTGCAAACTTATTCCTTTGGTCGGGCGGGCGGGCGGGACATTAAATGCATTGATTGCTTTCGTGGCGGATTACAAAGTGATTCCATTTGGCAGCGGATTGCAAGTTGATTACTATTATGGCGGATTACAAGCTGATTCCTTTTGTCGGGCGGGCGGGCGGGACATTAAAGGCATTGCTTGCTTGTGTGGCGGATTACACAGACTGAAGGCCCTAGGCTTCCCAAGGATAGGCCCTACTGGACACCCTAGGGTAGCCCTAGGGTACCCCTAGGGGTAGGCCCCAGAGGTAGCCCTAGGGTAGCCCTAGGGGTAGGCCCTAGGGTAGCCCTAGGGTAGCCCTAGGGGTAGGCCCTAGGGGTAGCCCTAGGGTAGCCCTAGGGGTAGGCCCTAGGGGTAGCCCCAGGGTAGCCCTAGGGGTAGGCCCTAGGGTAGCCCTAGGGTAGCCCTAGGGGTAGGCCCTAGGGGTAGCCCTAGGGTAGCCCTAGGGGTAGGCCCTAGGGGTAGCCCTAGGGTAGCCCTAGGGGTAGGCCCTAGGGTAGCCCTAGGGTAGCCCTAGGGGTAGGCCCTAGGGGTAGCCCTAGGGTAGCCCTAGGGGTAGGCCCTAGGGGTAGCCCTAGGGTAGCCCTTCCTTGGTGATATCTATAAGCCTTTTCATGATGAGCAGGGGGGGGGGGGGGGAGTGGGGGGGGGGGAGGAGGGGAGGGGAGGTTCGAACCCGTAGTGACCCCCCCGGTTTTTCCGGAGGGGGGGGGGGGGGGGGGGGGGGGAGGGGTTCGAACCGGTAGTGACCCCCCCCGGTTTTCCGCCAGCAGCGGTAGAACACGCTCTTTCGAACGAATTAATACAAAAAGACTGAAAAAATAAACAACAATATTCCGACTAGTTTTTGAAACCATGTTTGAAGATTCCTCCCGCAGAGGACACGCCCAACTTCAGGCCAGGGCGGCTTCCAAGGAGCCCACGGAAGCCAGGATTGGGTCGGGCATGTCCCCTACACGAGGATTTTCAACGAACCTTCAAGCATACGCAAAAAGTTCTACAAGCATAATATTCCACACATGCTCAACAAATCGTCCCAGGACTAGATTTAAAAACTATGTTTGAACATTCCTCTTGCAAATCGGGGATCTTCTGTCCTGGGTCAATCCAGACCCGGGTCAGCAGGAAACCAAAAAACAACTGCAACGCAGATCTTCGCAAACCCGGGTCAGCCAATAGGCGCGGCCGCCTCGCGGCCACGAGCGGCTCGCTGACCCGGGTCAGCCAGAGGGGGCCTTCGCCGGATCCTGCAGGATCTGGTGCCCTGGCTGACCCCCCGTCTGCCCTGACCCCCGTCTCCTTAGGCTCCCGAGCAGAGGGCCACGCCCGACCTCTGGCCGGGGCGGCCTGCCGAGGAGCCCCCCTTCGAGGCCGCCCGCCTCCTCGGCGGGCCGCCCCGCTCCGCGCCCGCCCCGCGTGCGCGCCGCCCGTGGGCAAGGGGGGCGGTGCGCGCCGGCCTCCCGTCGCGGCCACCCCCGCGCGCAAGGACGCCCGGCTGCCTGCCAGACCACCCCCAACCCAGCCCGACGAGCCCTCCTCCTCCTCCTCCTCCTCCTCCTCCTCCTCCTCCTCCTCCTCCTCCCTCCTCCTCCCCTCCTCCCCCTCCTCCTACCTCCTCCTCCTCCCTCCTCCCTCCCTCCTCCTCCTCCTTCTCCCTCCTCCTCCTCCTCCTCTTGGGGCTGGAAATGCTTCAAGAGGGCTCCAACTATGCCCGAGAGCGCCCCGCGAGGCCCATGGCGCCCTGACCAAAACCAGACTGTGGATCCACGTGGCAGGTACAGTCAACCAATATAGTAAGGATGCGCGGTAAGGACGCAAGGGCCTTGGACGCCCATTTCGAAGCTTTTCGAGCGGGGCGCGGCCAGCGAAAGCGGCCAAGGATGGACCGAGGAGGCGAGGATGCAAGGGTACCCTTGGGAAGGTTGCCCATTCTTACTATGCGAGTTGACTGTATGCTGTTCCGACCTACTTTAGCCTTGATCACCGAAAAGACTTTCGAGCACCAAGAAAAGTACCGAGATTCGAGGGTTTTCACGTGCCGGGCCCTGGGAGACGCTCGCCCGACACTGTTCCGGCACTGTTTCGAAACACCCTTTCGACACTTTTCCGGGTGCTCGAAATTAATTCGGGGATGTGGTCCTTGAGTGCGATGGGAGCAACAGAAGTTGGGGGGCGGCACGGGCTCCATATGTTTTTTTCAATTTTCGCCGACCCCCCCCACTGGAAGTGGAGGGCACATCGGGGCCTTCGGGTTGGGTGGGTGGGCGTTTTCTTATTCGGCGTTTGGACGTTGGGCGAAGGGGGGGGTCTGGCTCTGGACCTGTGCTTGATGCGACTGTTTGCAGCAGTGCGTCCCATGGGGGAGGGACTCCACCTGCTCGAGACAGGCTCCCAAAACAGCCACGATCTACTCCATGGGGAGGGGGAGAGGCGGGGGGGGTGCGGGGGCCCTTGCCGATCGGCAAAACAATAAATAACAAATAATAACTTGGGGTGGTTTGTTGTGGGCGATGAGCGCCTCCACTCCCGCTCGGGGAGGCATCGCGGACCTCCTCGCGGGAGGTGGTCCGCTGGCGGCGGTGGTGTTCCAATTTCGGAGGGGAGGGGCCCTTCCCCTGGAGACAAAAAATGCCTGGAGGGCCATATGTATTGGCCATCGTTGAGGCATCCTGGGCTTACGCCGACGCTGGTCCTCGGCCTCCCCTTTTTGGGTTTGTGTTGATGTGTTGGTGTTGGTTTATCGATACTTGGGGTGTAAGTTGATGTTGGTGTTTGTGTTGCTGATGTGGTGTGGACGTTTATGTTGATGTGTATGTTCCTCTTCCACCCCCACCCGCCGCCGACGTCGACGTCTCTGGAGGCCTCCGGAGGCCCAAGAACGGCCCAAAACTCTAAGCGTAGGTCGGGCATGTCCCCCTCCAGGCGGATCTTGAGCGAAAAGATGCCCCCCAAAGACCCCCCAAATATGAAACAATTGTTAACAAATCGTCCCCATATAATTTTTTTACTATTTTTGAACATCCCCCCTGTAGAGGGACAGGCCCGACTGAACTCTAATCCAAGGTCATGTCTTTCCTTCCTGGCGACAACGGCCAGCATCGGCCTCGCCCCCGCCCTGCCCGGCGACGGAACGCTTCGCGCAGGCGCCGCGTGGGAATGCCGAGGGATAGGCGTTCCCATAGTGCAGTAGGGGCTCGACCACAAGAAACCCTCCACAAGAAACCCAACCCTGAGACCCCAGGACGTCCATGGATTTTTGGTGTGGGAACGTCACGCTTTCCATGGCAAAATCATTGAAACCCAAGAAGCCCAAAGAATCCTGGAGGAGGCAAGCAGGGTGTTTCTTGGCATGGGCCCCCACTGTTTGGGAATGCCGAGGGATAAGCATTCCCAAAGTAGGCAATCCCAGACCCCACGGGAAGGGGAAGGGGGGGGGGGGGGGGGGGCAAATCATGATGTTACCGCCTCCCTCCGAGAACGCCCGTGACCCCGAGGGGACAAAAACAAGAATCCATCGAGGAAGGCGAAGACGACGGGCACGACCTTATAATAATATGGATAATAATTCTAATACGAATAACAACAATAATGATATTATTAGTATTAATAGTAAGGAGAAATATTATAATCGCTGCACCTGAACAAACCAACATAGCCGTCGTAGGTCCGCGCGGATTTCTGGGATGGGCGCTTCAAAAACCTCCCCTGGCGCGCGGAACGATCCCGGAGCGGCGCCGTAGGCGCCTGCTTGGGGCGTTCAGCGCCCACCCAAGAGGTATTTTTGACTATTTTCGAATATTCCTCATGTAGAGGGCCCGACTTAAAGATACGGGCGGACCTCCGAAATTGTATGTGAATTACGAGGACAGCGCAAATGCACCGTACTATGTTTGGACTCCATTCCGGCCCCGCCCCAACGCGGTACGGTGCATAGGGTTGTCGGCTCTGAGGGCACTGTGCACCAATCCATTCATGGGTCTGGCCCGATGCACACAAATCGCCCGCTGATGAATTCCTTTTGCGTTCCTTTGAGTGAGGAGGGCGACGAGCCCCAGGACACTGACGACGGGAACAAGTTTGCGTCCCGGGCGCATTGCGATGGCCCCGTGATCCGAAGACGGCCCTCAGAGGCCGAAATGAAAGAAAACACAGCGATTGAAGGCATGACTCAACCCAAAGTCTGGTTTGGGGGTTCCCTGGCAGGCGGTCCGGCCAGCATCTCCAAGGGCCCAAGGGAATCCAAGCCGAGTCAACGATTAGATCCCCCAGAGCCTCACAGAACCCCGAGTCTGGGGAGACCAAAAGGTACCGATACCGCTACTCCCCGGACCTCTCCCCGGGTGCGCACTGGAAGAAACTTGCAGAAAAAACACATCGACGCGACCGACGACGACAACGACGCCGACGACGCCGACGCCGACGCCGACGACGAAGACGACGAGGACGACGACGACGACGACGACGACGACGACGAGGACGACGACGAGGACGACGACGAGAACGACGACGACGACGACGACGAGGACGACGACGAGGACGACGACAACGACGACGACGAGGACGACGACGACGACGACGACGACTGCGACTGGTCCTGCAGGAAGCGGGCGAGGATGGCGTCGTACAGTTCCTGGACGGAGCGCCGCGGGGCCCGGGGCGGCCCCCGAGGGGAAGAACGACAGCGGGGGGGGGGACAGGCCCATCGGTGGTTCAAAGATGGGGCAGGTGATGCTCGGGGCAGGATGGCGGGCATAAGCATGTATCTCGTGCACGGTCCCATAGCAAGCAGTAGATCCGTAGTCGTTGTGGCTCAGTTGGCGTCTTGCCTTAAATCCCAGGACGCTAAGTGGCGCTCAACCAGGCTAGGCAAACCCACATCACTGAAACTTCGGTCGTTGGTTTCCGGTGAAAAACGTGGTTTGATCTCGGGCAGCTGTGTTTCATATTGAGGGGGGGGGACAGGCTCATCGGTGGTTCAAAGATGGGGTCCTGAGGGATGGAGTCCTAAGGACGAGGTGCCACAAACAATGCACATTCATCCTTGGATCCCTTCTTATCCATCGGGCCCCATCCCTCAGGACCTCATCTTTGAACCACCGAGGGGGGGAGAAAACATCGAGCTGGAATCGGCGATACATCGCCGATACATCGACCTTTGAGGACGGAGGATCGAGGATCGAGCTTCGAGGATCGAGTACCGAATTTCGAAAATGGCGCCGCCCCCACAAGAGCCGTGGGGAGGCCTGCTGCACAATGCCCGCCGAAAGAACTCTGCAGGACCTCCAGGACCTTCCGCTTATGAGAGTATTAGGTCGGGCATGTCCCCCTACAGGCGGATTTCGAACGACAAAAAACATCTCAACAAAAGATTTTAAGAGATTCCATCAAATGCTCGGAAAATCGTCTCCGCACTATTTTTTACTATGTTTGAATATTCCTCCTGTTGAGGGACACGCCCGACTTAATGATAGTGCATACGTTTAGCGGTTGTCCACGGAAGAGACCAGAAATCGCCCCTGCACACTGACACGGCGTGCGTGGATCGTGCAACCACGAACGAAGGCGGGTCCACGACAGCACAGATCCCTCGACATCGGCCGCCTCCCGGCAAGCGGCGGCGTTCATCCTTGAACGCCCGCGCTGGGTGTCGCCACTGCGTCGATACGACATGAACCCTGCCGCATACACTCGACTTCCCCAGCGCTCCGTGGCCTAATGCCAACTGCCCGGAGGTGGCGACGACGCCAGATGCGGACACCGGCAGCGGCGACGGCGACGCCGATCGCCGACGGCGGCGGCGGCAACGGCGACGGCAACGGCGGCAACGACGACGACAGCGCCAACGCCGACGGCGACGGCGACGCCGACGTCGACGGCGCCGATGCCGACGACGACAGCGGCAGCGGCGACGGCGGCGAAGGCGAGGCCCTGGGCGGAGATGGCAGCGGCCACGACGCTCGGCGGCAGCGCGGCCTGCTGCTCCCTGTCCGGAGGCGCCGCGCTCGGCGGCGCTGGCACCGCGCCCTCGGCGCCCGCGGCGGCGCCCTCGTCTCCCGCGGCGCTGGCCATCTGCGGTGCGGCCTCCCGGGACGACGACGACGACGACGACGGCGAAAGCGACGGCGACAGCGACAGCGACGGCGACAGCGACGACGACAACGACGACGACGGCGACGACGACGGCGACGACGGCGACGACGACACCACAATTGAGGACGTGAAGGTTGAGGACGGTGACGCCGGGCTAGGACGGGGAGGCAAAGGGATTAAGAGGAGGAAGGGAAGGCACGAGGAGAAGGAGGGCGGAGGAGGAGGGGGATGAGGAGGAGGAGGAGGTGAAGGAAGGGGGAGGAAAAAGGGAGAAGGAGGGAGAAGGGGTGGACAGGGTGTCCTCTCCTCCCCCCCTCCCACGCCCAATCTCCTCCTCCCACGCGTCCCTACCACCGCTCTTAGACATCGCATTGTGGCTCCCTTCACCCCATCCCCTCCCTCCTAAGATCCCGCCGCGATGCGCTCCTCCTCCTCCTCCTCCTCCTCCTCCTCCTCCTCCTCCTTTTGCTCCTCTTCCTCCTCCTCCTCCTCCTCGGCTCCTCCTCCTCCCCGTCATCATCCTTCGCCTCCTCCCCCTTGTCCTCTCCTCCTCTCCTGCTCTGCTGTCTCCTTCCCTCCAACTCCACCCGCCCCTCCCCCCATTCCTTCTCCTCCACCTTGTCCCGCAGTCCCCCAGCCCCCGTGCCCCTGGGACTCCAGCCCGGCTCCCTCCACCCACGCCCTCCGCCGCGCACCGCCGCGACCTGCCTGGAAGCTGCAGTGAGGGACGACGCCAAGATGGAACAACAAACAAACAAAAACAGTCCGTCGGATGCCTGGGCCTGGAATGCCACACAAGACCCCCCAGGCCTTCCCCGGGAGTCGTTCTGACCAGAATGTTTGAAGCCCCGGAATCCTTGCGGAGGTAGACAAATATCTTTAAATACCTCCGACTCTCGAGACCTCGAACCGTCGCAGACAGTTCCCACGCGTCATGCCTGGCCCTCCTTCTCCTCCTTCTGCGAACGCTGCTGCTGCCCGAGGAGGACGAGGCGGAGTGCGAG